TACTTCCTTTAGTTAGAAACAAAAAAAAAAATTCATGCTTACCTCTGTGATACATCCATTTATTCATTTTATCCACAAGAAAAAATAAATGTAATAGCAGCCTCTTTCTTTACCCTGCAATTTAAATATTTTAGACTTGATAGGCTGGGCTGTCCTTTGGATTTATGATATGGCAGCCTCATGAATATCAGCACTGATATAATAAAATACGTTTTTTAATAAAAACAATTCAAAATAGAAAGTCCACTTTTAAAATGTGTATTTGTTTATTTATTTAGGGTGGTTTATGAGCTCTCACTTGTGTACTCATTAAATGTAACCTGGAAAGAATAAACTGCTAAAACTCTAATAGGAAAATAAAAATATAAATCTCTGGCTGGAAATGCATTAAATGTTCAGGGAAATAAAGGATCTATTTTGCATACTGAGCATAACAGAATGCCATTTTATAACTAGAAAATCCCAGATATGATACCTATGTTTCAGAATTTTAAACTTTTCATAGTTGATTTTGAAATGATTAATGGTAAAATCATAGGAAAGGTATATTTTAGTTTATTTGTACAAAATGCCACGTGTTAATTTAACTTCTTAGGAAATATCAGGTTAAAACAGGAATCATGTGACAAAGAACACGTGACCCAGTCAAAGACCACCAACTTGTGTCTGGAAATTAACCCTCAAGTTGGACTCTTGAGCCCCTATCCAGAACCAAAAGTGGGCTACGCTACAAAAAAATCATAAAACTGACATTGACCATGTTTTGTTCTCTGATAAAATCATGTTAATATTGTCCTTCCTTGTGTCTGCTGCTCAGGGAATAAACTATCAGAAAGACTTATAATGAGAGTCCAGTCTATCTTGTTAGGATTCACTTTAACATATTATTATCTTGGCTTTGATATGTCATATATTCAAATATGCTTGATAACAACCCAAACTATGTGAGTTATGTAGTAATTCAAGTTAGTCACTCATTCATTCCAGAAATTTTCACTGGATGTATTTGTGCAATGTAGACACCATGGTGGATGCAAAGATGATTTGATTTCATATTACAAAAAAAGAGATGGGATTTGCAGAGAGAAGAATTGGGTTCAAATCCCAGTTTTGTCTTTTGCTCGTTGGGGAAACTTGGGAAAAAAGTTTTCTTACTTGACCATAATAATCTTAATTTGACAAATGGAAACAATATGATAAATATGTCAAAAAGTTTGGGACAGACGCACTGGCTCATACCTGTAATCCCAGCACTTTTAGGAGGCTGAGGCAGGTGGATCACAAGTTCAGGGACCAGCCTAGGCAATATGGTGAAACCTCATCTCTACTAAAAATACAAAAATTAGCTGGACATGGTGACAGGCATTTGTAGTCCCAAGCTACTCGGGAGGCTGAGGCAGGAAAATCCCTTGAACCCAGGAGGCGGAGGCCGCAGTGGGCCGAGATCATGCCACTGCACTCCAGCCTGGGAAAAACAGAGTGAGACTCCATCTCAGGGGGAAAAAAAAAGTTTGAGTGATTTATAATATTATATTTATAGAAGTTCTTGTAGGTTTTACATTATGTTTACTATTAAACCTTTTATTGAAAATACCATATAGATAGGTTTTAGTTCAATAAAAATAGAACAGAAAACATTCAAATTCTTGAGGGAAAAATTCATTTTACATGAAGATAATTAGGATATTGAGATGAGATTATCTTACCAAGATGATACCAAACTGCAACTTTGTTATGGTCTCATAGATGAAAATAATACTTACATGATCAGAGCTCACAGTGGATCACGCATTTTTTCTAACAGATTATCAAATCCCTATTCAACATAGCATGTCTGGAGTTGTGTTTGTGAGCCTGGATGCTTGATTTGTGTTGTTAGAATCGTGAGGGCAGAAGCTTGTCTAGTTCATCACTTTTCCTCCTACGGTGATTGAGACTTCAAGCAAGCTGAGAAGTGACAGAGCACAAAAATGAGTTCTATGATAAAGCTTGCTTTAACTATCAAAGGATGATTCAGATCCAAGGTTGAAAGTAGCGTGCTAAGCTGCTTTCTTTCCCCCACAGAACCCAAACCAAAGAAACCTATACAGATAAGGTTTGTATACTGCCTATAATTTATGAGACAGTTACTTCTTCATCATCTTATTTGATTGTTATTGAAAACCCAGTATTGGAGTTATTATATTATTTTCGACCATTGGAACACTGAATCTTGGAGATGTATAATAGAATGACCTCCCTAAGGTGACTTGGTAAATTTCTTCATCATCCTGACTCATAGCCACTGATAGTCCCACTGAGTGTTTTCCATGGATAGGTATATCAGGAAAGAATGTGAAAGTGCAGGAAGCAATACAGAATAGAAGCGTAGCATATACATGTTTAAACTCTGTGAGGTCATCACAAGAAGCTTCATGTTACATTTTACATTTATTTTTAAGTTATGTGGGCACATTGTGTGTGTGTTTGTGTGTGTGTGTGTGTGTATAAATTGTGTGTGTGTATATATATATATCATATATATATATATAATATGGCCTACTATTTATATGGGATGCACGAGATGTTTTGACAGAGGCATGCAATGTGAAATAAACACATCATGGAGAATGGATATCCATTCCCTCCAACACTTATCCTTTGAGTTACAAACAATCCAGTTACACTCTTTAAGTTATTTTAAAATATACACTAACCCTTTAAGAAGTAACTGTTCATTATTGCCTTTGAGAATGAGGCGTGAATGAGACACGGGTGGAGGGGCAGAAGGAAGGACAGCTGTTTAACAAATGGACACTTGCACCTACTACTATGTAACTGTTGCAAGACAATGGTGGTGGTCATCTAAAACTAAAAAAAATTGATATTATATATTTTAAAATATTAACCCTAATTCCATGCTAGTATAATTGACATCCCTTTATTTCAAGTCATTTTTAAGACTGTTCACCTAAGTTTAAAAATCCTTGGAGTTACGCCTGAGTAGCAGCTTCCTATCTAGCCAAGGTGGATGCAGGAAACTATTACTGTACATACGCATGTGAGATTTCTGTGATGGAAAGTGGGTAATATGCATATATACCAAGACTAGGAACAAGAAGGAGATTCAAGGGAGTGAGAGACTCTTTTGAGGCTGAGAGAAGATGCCAGTTAAGACTTTAGCACGAGGAAAAACTTAATAAAGGAATTCTTCGAGCCATTTACTTGTGTAGCAGAAAACACTTATTCGGGTGACTTTGGAGTCTTTTAGTGGCCTCCCTTACACCCTCTGACAATCTGGGAGTGTGAGAACACAGAATGGGTATAACACGATGGTCTGTCATCTGAAGGTTTGCAGGTGCCCTCAGAGCAATTACTCAGACTGCACCATGTGAACTGTGGACAAGATGTGTTGCTTCTTATATTTGCATAGCTTCTCTCATGAGCTCTATCAATTTCTTTCATAGAAAACAAATTTAACATGTGCATTTAAAAACTGAGAGCATGTAAATTATTTGCCAGGAAATTTAAAATGATTCAAATTTTAAGATAGGAAGAAGACGTAAAAGCGATAATATCAAGTTACTAGAAGTTCTTATTGCTAAATGTCATTTGACCTTTAATTTCTAATTTTTCTGGAGTAAAACAGAATTTTGTAAAATACTGTGGTGTATATAAGCAAGCATAATCAGAAGTGCTAGGTAGAGATGGGGTGGGACAAGGATAGGTTATCCAACAAGAATCACTGATGTGTATTTATACATTTAATCATAGCACATTCAGTGTGAGCATCCTCTGCCGTTAGAATTGAAGGTACATTAAGAACAAAAACAGAAACAAAACAAAAAAGCACAGGCATGCACTACCTGACCTCTTCTAGAATGTACTCTCTGGTGGGATAACCTGCAAGGCAATGGGGAATCTCACTGGAGTGACTTCCTGGATCATGATTACAAAAGCTCAGGTGCTGTGGGTACAACTAAAGAGAGCAGTTTGTCCATGCTGGGGGATTCTGGAAAGGCTTTTTATAGGAAGGAAATAGCAAGATTGGAACTGAAGCAAATTTGGCTAAGGGAAGAGGGCAAGTATTCCAGACAGATGCAAGAGTACCTTCAAAAGGCTGGAGGTGGCTTCTTGCATGAAAGGTTCAATTCTGAGTGAATACAGTCGCTCGTGGGTGTTCTCCCAGATGGAGTAACGTTCTCTGGAACTTTTATAAAGTCCTCTTGCCATGATCTGTGAAAACAACATATAAGAAAAAACATGGCTGGTGGAGAAGAATAATCATTCAGAACAACAAGAAACACATTTTCTCTTAGGGTGAGTTAACATTCATATACATTCCTGTACACACACACACACACACACACACACACACACACACACCCATCACTTCTGTGGGTAATTAACATTTATTGGTTATCCTTCTATTACCTGAGTAAAATAAAATGTATTTTGGAAAATATTCGTTGCATGTTAATAAGCATCTCAATGTCTGTATTTACAGCATGAAGTATTTTAACAAGTGCATAGTGATTATGGTATCACAAACTTACATACAGAGAATACTGTGTTTTTAGGGGACAGTATAAAGACATTATCTTTAAAATGATCTTAAAAAACATAAACTCCCATTAACGTCATACATATTTTATGTTAAATAATGGTAATTTTTGAGATAGGAAGATTAAAACAGAATTTATAATGGAATTGGAATTATCCTGAGTACACCCTTGTAATATAAAATGTGTTTAGCACCCCGGCTCAGACTGACTGACCATAAAAGCTGCCTCTGGCTGGTGGATGAGGTTTCTGAGTGTGAGAGGGAAGGAACAAGTCACTTGAAATTGGCTGTTTCTGACTCTAGATCACCATAGATCGCCATTATAATTTCTTCCCTACTCCCCTCCCCTCCCCTCCCCTCCCCTTCTTTCCCCTCCCCTCCCCTCTCCTCCCCTCTCCTCCCCTCCCTTTTCCTCTCCTTTTTCTTTATTTCTTTTTTTGACAGAGTTTTGTTCTTGTTGCCCAGGCTGGAGTGCAATGGCACAGTCTCAGCTCACTGCAACCTCTGCCTCCTGGGTTCAAGCGATTCTCCTGCCTCAGCCTCCCAAGTGGCTGGGATTACAGGCATGCATCACCCATGCATGACTAATTTTTTGGATTTAGTGGATATGGAGTTTCATCATGTAGGTCAGGCTGGTCTTGAACTACTGACCTCAGGTGATCCACCTGCCTCAGCCTCCCAAAGTGCTGGGACTGCAGACGTGCACCAGCACGCATGACCCACCATCGTAATTTCTGAGAAGAGGTCCTCAGTAACTAAATCCTTGATTCCTGAGAAAAATTATCTTTTTGCAGACATATATTTTCCTTTCGAAAAATTATTTTATTAAACTCATTTTATTTCATGATATGACTGAATTCCCTAGATTTATACTGCCAGCATTTCCAATATGCATTTTCTCTCTAAACACTTTGTTATTGATATTCTAATTTTCCTATGTGTAGACTCAAGAAATCGACTTATCTTTAACTGACTTGAGTCACTCATTTCGGCCATTTATAAATATAATACTATCTAGAAAAAGTTTGAGTAGACTTGGGGGCGAAGGCCCTGGCCCGTTTGGTTCATTAGAGTAAGATTCTTAGAAAATACATTGACTCAACATTATAAATATTACAGATACAAGGTAGGAATTTTCCCGATAACCTACCTTGATTGATCTCAACATTGTCTTCTATTTGTCTTTTCATTTTATTTTCCACTACTGTCTTAGCTCTTTTGGGTTAGTGCAGCACAATACCTCCGGCTAATCTATGGAGAACATAAATGTATTTCTCATGGTTCTGGAAGCTGGGAAGTCCAAGATCAAGACACTGGCAGTTCTGGGCTGTGTTGCGGGCTGTTCTCTGCTTCCAAGAGAATACCTTGTAGCTGCCTCCTCTGTAGGGAAGGAATGTTCTGCCTTCACAGGGAAGAAGGTGAAAGGGCAAGAGGGGATGAACTCCAGGTCAAGCCCTTTTATAATGGGGGAGCCTACTGCACTCACAGGAGAGAAGCCAGCACAGCCTCATCACCTTTTCTATGTCCTCTTGTCAATACTTTCATGTGGGCAACACCCAGATTTTAGAGGGGACAGATTCACACTGACTATGTTTATTAGTGGTACAATGTATTAGAGCATGGATACCGAACCTTTTCATTTTATGGTACAGAGTGTTACTACATTTAGAGTGTTGGATATGGAATCATTTCTTTTCATGTCAATATTTTATGAATGATCTGGAGCTAATGCAAACTTTCCATTTCTAGCAAAATAATTGATAATATGCATTAAATAGCCATGGAATGGCTCATAGATGATGTATATTAAATCTCCGTTAATTTTTGTTACCGTATTGAAAATTTTGGTCATAGTTCTCATGAATCAAATTTATTAAATTATTTATTTATGCTAAATTTTAAGTACAAGCAAACTTTCATAGTAAGAAAGAATTGAACATTTACATCTAACCTGTGGTTCTAAATATATTCTAATTGGCAGAGCTATTTTTTTTTTCCCTTGGGCAGAGACTATTTCTGAATTATAGCTATGAGTAAATTACAAAGTGTTTTAATTTCAATTATGCTTTAATTTTACATTAGAGATTTTAACTATGTTTCTGTGCTAACTTTATAGAAGTAAGGCATGACATTTTACATAATCATGATTTTCTCTGTTAAACTATTGACTCACTGAAAGCAATGGCTCTGTTATATTCATCCCTGTATCTAAGCGGTTTATCTCTTGGTACATGTATTTTAGGTGCCCAAACAATTCAAGTCATAATAACAAAAGAAAAAGAAAATAAACCAAACATATACATACCCCCAGAACTTCAATACATTTTTAAATACTCAGTTATTTAAAATTACACAGGTAGGTGTATCTGTGTGTGGTGATTGTAAAAATGATATATATCTGCATATATGTACAAACACGTACATATTCACAAGTGTGTTTATATATAAATTATTTAACATTCCACATGCACATACCTGCACATATGTGCGGCAATTAATAGTGGGAAGTTCTTGGTGAAATTATGAAAATGTATCATTCAAATAAATTTATTTCACTGAAATATTGAGGTTGAGTAAAGAAAGAAAAGTAAAGATTTTATCAATCTGAAGTAACCTGATTCAGCTATCCATTTTCACCTGTGTGTCTTTTTAAAGCACAACTTCACAGTGCTTGCATGGACATTGGAAGTTGGCTTTTTTATGTTAATATCTCTGTCTTGTTTCTAATAAATACTTGAGCTGACATACACATCATGTAGTAAGTTAGAAAATGGGTAATGAGGTCAAGGAGGATTAGCGAAAGGAGAAGAGGAGGGTGTCCTGTAAGAATCAGCACAGAGGTCTGAGTCTGGGAGGAACGCCTACTTGTTGCCCTGAGATTTCCAGAAAAAGAGAGAAAAGAGAATGTACTCTGTGAGTTTTGAAGCTCATAAATACAAAAATAAGTCTGTCCCAGAAAGCCCATACGTTTCGTGCATGGAAGGGGCCTTGAGGGATGTCCTTGAGCCCTCAGGAGTCACGGGATTTCATTCAAAGGAAGAATTTTTCAGGGACAATTTTCTTTTTTCTTTTTGTTTTTTGAGCTGGAGTTTCTCTCTTGTTGCCCAGGCTGGAGTGCAATGGCATGATCTCGGCTCACCGCAACCTCTGCCTCCCAGGTAGAGATGGGGTTTCTCTGTGTTGGTCAAGCTGATCTTGAACTCCTGACCTCAGGTGATCCGCCCACTTCAGCCTCCCAAAGTGCTGGGATTACAGATGTGAGCCACCGCACTTGGCTGGGCAGTTTTTTTAACAGAATAAATGCTTTTATGTTTTTAGTAGTAACTTACATAAAATCAGAGAAATAGGAAAGACTTCAAATATCACAAAGTCTAGTGTTATTTTACAACTGACATTTCTGTCATTTCAACTGTGTTATCACACACAGTAGTAATACTCTCCTAAATAGATCTTAGCATATTTTCTGCATCGATTTCTGACTGTAAATGCCTTAAGAGCAGTGCCCTGTTCTGAAGTGTACCTAGCCTTCCATGCCCATCTCAAATGTTATAATCTTTGGAAATCTCTTCCTCCATCTGAACGACTGCCATACTCCGGTCCTTTCTTGCCGCCCTCTTCATATTCTGGCTTCCTTTGTTACTGGTTTTGAACCTGGCATCCTTGTTCTGTAGATAGTCACATTTTAGGGGCCCGACTGATACAGTTTTTCTCTATGTCCCCACGCAAATCTCATGTTGAATTGTAATCCCGGTGTTGGAAGTGGGGCCTGGTGGGAGGGTACTGGATCATGGGATGGTTTCTAATGGTTTGGCACCATCCCCTGCTGCTGTCTCATGATAGAGTTCTCAGGAGTTCTGGTTATTTTAAAGCCTGTAGCTCTTCCCCTTTCACTCTCTCTTCCTCCTGCTCCAGCTGAGTAGGACAAGCCAGCTTCCCCTTCACCTTCCACCGTGATTGTACGTTTCCTGCAGAACCGTGAGCCAATTAAACCTCTCTTCTTCAAAAATTACTCAGTCTCAGGTAGTTCTCTATAGCAATGTAAGAATGAACTAATGAACCGACTGAATCCTGTGCACCTGGGGAGGCCTAATGAAATGTCTCCCACCCTGTTGACATGATGCTGGTATCTGTCACCAGCAAAAAACTGTGATGTTGACAAAGGATACCTTTCTGTCATTTCTTGCAAAAGTAAAATATCCTCAGGGTCGGCCGGGCGCGGTGGCTCAAACCTGTAATCCCAGCACTTTGGGAGGCCGAGGCGGGTGGATCACGAGGTCAAAAGATCGAGACCATCCTGGTCAACATGGTGAAACCCCGTCTCTACTAAAAATACAAAAAAAAAATTAGCTGGGCATGGTGACGCGTGCCTGTAATCCCAGCTACTCAGGAGGCTGAGGCAGGAGAATTGCCTGAACCCAGGAGGCGGAGGTTGCGGTGAGCCGAGATCGCGCCATTGCACTCCAGCCTGGGTAACAAGAGCAAAACTCCATCCCAAAAAAAAAAAAAAAAAAAATATATATATATATATATATCCTCAGGGTTTCTGTTGAATGCATTATCTTGTTTTAATATTAATATGGTGAGGCCTAGTTTAGCATCTAGCTGTCACTTTGTTATAATATGAACCTTGATACCTATGTATTCTTTGCAGTATCACATGTGAAGGCCTTACACTTGGTTAAATGAAATCGTCTGTAAAGAAAATTCCTATACTTTTTATGTAAAGTATTTTTATTGGAGGTTATTACTACAGAGTTACCCAAGCAGGATGATCTGATATTTTCAACTTCTTACATTTATTGAGCAGGGCAATGTCACATGCATTTTCTCATTCTAAACTACTGCATTTAGTTTTCATATTTCAATGAGGAAGAAAGGAAACATACTTTTCAAGTTGAACAAAACCCTCTTCATTGATTTAACGTAAATACAGGCCGTATTTATATGTGTATATGTGTTCCAACACACTCTGAATCTACAACCATAATACTTTTTTCAAAGGGTTGTGCTATATTTAAAAGTTTCCCATAAACATTGTGCACAATATCTGCTGATGTTAAGAGCAGTTCTTAATGTGATATTACCCCATGTTCTTGTAATCCTAATGTGCAAAATTCTATTTAGTTTTATAATTGTGGTCACCTCTGGAGCTGCCTCAGAACGCTCCCATGGAGAGGACTCTACTTTCTTTTATAAAAACATTTTTATGCCCTGAGTTATCTTCCTGACTTCATCAGACGCCTGCTGAAGCACCACCTGTCTTTTTTGGCATCTGAACCTAATTTGAAGTGCTGGCTTTGCCTTCCCAGGGCAAATCTAGTGTATTCTATGAACAAGTGGCAACAGGTGTAAGGCGCTGGACCAGGGATGGGACTGGGGGAAGGGAAGATGTTCCTGTAGAAGAGATGACACTTGCAGTTTTATACTGACTCCCCATGAAGAGCCACTCCTGCCTGGCACCTATGCCTTGCTGAAGAGATCTAAGCAACTTTGAAATAGGCAGGAGGCCATTGTGACAGATGGGTCTCTGTGTGGCCAAGATGCCAAGTATTCTATGCATCAAGTGTCTCTGCTAAAAGTTTGAGTCCCCGCCAGGAATATCCACATGGATGTCTGTCTCTAAACCTGGACATCATGTTTAGGGCATCATGCTCTCCCGAATCCACTGCCGCAGGCGCTAACATTCCTTGGTCTCAGGTCTACGTGGGAAGATCGGGAGCTGCTAACCCAGAGTTTAATTGGATACCACTGTCCTCCACCTGTTCCTGCTCCTGCCCTCTACTGGAGACGCACGTCCATGACACCTCAGAGCTGCCCTTTCGCCAGGCCTGCTTTGTGCATGGAAACACAAGAAAAATAAACATGTTGGTTCTGAGGAAGGGAAGATTATAAGCAGATATGAGGCTTCCGGCTGTATTTGACAACACAGTGTAAACAGTTTATTATCTAAAATATGGATCAGCTCTGTGATGGTTAGACTCTATGTAATCTAATTACTTTTTAATTAGTAATTTTTAATTACTAATTATTTTAGCAACAGATAGCTTTTTACCATTGCAATAAATCTACATGGGAGAATCTGTGTTTTGGGGGACTATTATCCCTGTGGATTGGAGTATTTGCGTTAGATTTTTCTTTATATATATATTTTATATAGATATTACATATACATAGGTATATTTATGTGATATGTATGCATTTCTCTATGTAATGATGAGCATGTGGCTTCCATTTTGTTCATTCTGCAGCCACAGTTGGTAAGACTTGACTTGGACTGGCCGTATTACATCTGAGAAACTGAATATATTTAATTCAGTTTGCATTCCCTCCACACATGCAGTTTCTCATATCTAATATGAATTGAATTAAGTACCACAGCTATTGCCCAGTGATTAGATGTGAAACAGAAAGTGCATCATCATCGCCGTCATCATGATCTGTTTGGATAAATGTTCTTTCCCTGTTTTCTGTGACTTGGGAATGCCTCATGTCTTTCTTGTGACTTCAGGAGGTGGCTATGAAATAGCAGTGGGTCAAACTCGCCGATATCCACAGGCCCCACCACAGCCTTGTCTTAGATTGTGGTTACATGTGAGCTCATGCAGGCAGTGACATAAACTGAGCAAATATGTTACTCTCTCGAGTATGAAAACATCTCGTTTTTATTACTTATTTCCTTTGCTGAGTTCATTTTTATGGATTAGTGTCTAAACAGAGGATCTGCTACAAAAATTGTAGAAGTTAAAGGCAACCGTTTTATTTCTATCTTCTAATTTTTTAAAGTGAACCGTTCCTCTTCTCTCTGCACACCCATCTGCATAATTCCATAGCTTTGTAACACAAATGATCACACCTGTAATTCTGTAGAGTCTCATGACTGTGCGCTTTTGTTTCCTTAAATTTCAATGTGCTATGTAGGGAGTTCAACTCAAATCAATCATCCGTAAATTTATAACCTTCCTCTGTAACCAATTTAGGTATCATACTAATATTTGTTTCTTTGGGAATGTCTTTAAGAAACTGCAGCATCACACCTTATATATGAAATAATAATCACTGAATTTATAGTTTAAAATCTTAATTGGCTACAATTAATTAGAGCCCTATTATGTATAGATTCCTTTGGTAATCGCATTAATTAAGAAGGATGCACAGTAATTGGGTTCCATCCAAACAATAATATCCCTTACAGCTGCTGGCTCGAACAGCTCTTCTGGTTATGAGGTCCCAAAGAGTCTGGTGGGAAGGTTGGCATGCAGTTTGGCAGTGACTTCCTAATTCTGGTAACACATGGACAACTCCCTCACTTCCAGATTTGTCAATGGTTCTTCCTAAGATTAATTGCAAATAGGAAAAGTATGAAGATGGAATTCTAATCTGCAAAGTACATCTGGTCTACACTGAACTCAGTCTTGGCCTAGCAACAAATACTGCAAAACATATGGACAGGAGCGTTATTAAATGAGCTGTGGATGTGGATGTTGATGGCGTTTCCCTGTAGAGCTCTTTGAGGGCAGGGCTTCTGTTTAAAATAAGACCTTTGGGGGTAGTTTTTATTCTCTATTTCATGCTGATGAACAATGGATCATTAATAGCATTCAGTGAAGAAATATTCATTGAGTGTCTGTCCAAGCACTTTACTAGGAATTAGGAAGACAATCAAGAAAAAGCAAGGGTCCCAACCCCAGAAGCATTTCAAGGAACAGAGGCGAGGCAGTGAACAATTATTGAAAGTGATTACGACACCATGTGACAGGGACAGCAATGGAATCCACACATCTGTGGCATGAAAGAAAGAGAAACAACGTGTATTGTCAGAGGGAGTTGGGGACATACCTCAAAGCAATGCTGTTAGGTTTGCACCAAGCTTTTTTTTAATAAAATTAAAAAATTTATTTTTTTAATTATTATTATATTACTTTTATATAAGTAATATAAATTTATTATTATTATACTTTAAGTTCTGGGGTACACATGCAGAACGTGCAGGTTTGTTACATAGTTGTATGTGTGCCGTGGTGGTTTGCTGCATCCATCACCCTGTCATCTACATTAGGTATTTCTCCTAATGCTATCCCTCCCCATCCCCCCACCCCCTGCTCTCCCTCCCTAGTCCCCCCACCCCCCAACAGGCCCAAGTGAGTGATGTTCCCCTCCCTGTGTCCATGTGTTAT